GAGAGTCTGATGGTGGGGAGATAAGTAAAGTGTCCCGTCAGCTCAGCATCTGACGGCGATCAATATATCATATTTAGACGTTTTATCCTAATGTTACTCATAATTGTTCAAAATTTGGATTAATTCTTAAATTTTTGTTTTGCCATTTCTATCGTTTATTGTTTGCTTCTGTGTTGCTATTTATTCTTTATATTATATTTTTATATAATATATATCTATTATATCTTTATTTATAAAAAAAATCCGATCTGATGTAGGCTAATGAATAAAACCTTTTTTTTTTAATTACCCGATGTTTATTGGTGTTCTTGTATAATTCATATTATAAATGATATAACCAAACAAATTAATAATTAATTAGGTGAAGCTGTGCGCTTGAATTTGTGATCGCATCATCCTATGCAATGTGGTGAATTATTATTGCTCATTATTGTCTATAGGCTATTTTAGTAATTTAAATTATACCTATAAGCGCCAGCGGGTCAAATTTACCGACCTATATAATGCATGTATTTTCGCGCTGGCATTTTCTTGCCGCTTATGTTTTAACATTGTACATTTCTAGGCAACGCCTTTCACTCACTGAATTAGCAGTTATCAGTTTCATAAATAAAGACAAAATGAGTAAAAGAAGGTGATTTATGAATGCTGAAGAGGTATAAGAAGCACTAAATGCCATGAGCGATGGATAGTCTGATGGTAGGGAGATAAGTAAAGTGTCCTGTCGGCTCAGCATCCGACGGCGATAAATATATCATATTTAGATGTAGTAACAATTGTTACTCATAATTGTTCAAAATTTGGATTAATTATTTAATTTTTGTAATAATTAATTAGGTGAAGCTGTGCGCTTGAATTTGTCATCGCATCATCCTATGCAATGTGGTGAATTATTATTGCTCATTATTGTCTATAGGCTATTTTAGTAATTTAAATAACATAGGTTATCTTAATATATTGATTAATGACATTGTATTATAATAGCCTGTTACACCTCCAATATATGTATTTACTTCCTTCCTTCTAATTCTCGTTGTCAGTGCAGGCTTTTTTAGCTTAATATTGACCGTTATGAAAAGTGACTAGTGTAGCCTGCATAAAAAAAACATTTGAACATAAAACAACAGGACAAAAATATAGTTGATGACTAGACATAATCATTTCATGACTCTAGACACTTCTTTGTGAAGACAGTAGCATAATACAGTGAAATAATATGTTCTTTAGCCATTCAGAAACAACTGTCATGTGCGTGGGTAAAATTTACCCGCTGGCGGTTTTAGGTATACAGTGACCCCTGGCGGTTCTAGTGTTAATCGAAACTCTGTAAATTTGTGTGAAAAGTAATAAAAGGGGTCGGAGTTTTACTGCCTCTAGTGTTCATTTATTTTGGAAACTGCAGTGATATGTACTTATTGGTACGTATTTCGCGTCTCGCAAAAAAGTGTCCCCAGGTGCGTTTTTACCATGAGACCAGGTAGCGAAAAGAGCAGCTTGAACATGCTGCCAAATTTATTGTGTGTTCTGTGTAAGACAAAAGGGACGCAATGAGAGAATAAATAACAGAGTAAATGACTTGAATATTTGACATTTTGGTAAACTGGTTTATTTTTTGTGCCATAGTCTCCCAACAAGCCTACAACACCTCAGGAGAAAATTCGTCCCCTCACAAGTTTAGACCATCCACAGAGCCCTTTCTACGACCCAGAGGGTGGCGCGATCACTCCTGTGGCTAGAGTTGCCATAGAGAGAATTGCTCGCAAGGTCTGTTTCTTTGCTTGTCTTAAAAAAAAAATAAAAATAAATTTCAAAAGAAAATATTCTTAGCTGTTGTGGTTTTAGCTTTTATTATTGTGCAAAACAGCTCTGCATTATTCATGTCATAAAAGTCTATAAACTTAGAGCTAAAATAACTTGACAACAACAGATTATGCATATTTATGAACCCAGCATTTCACAACAATGCCCTGAAAGTATTGAAAGTCATGCATCCTCGATTGGGAGAGAGATTACTGTATACGAATTAGTAGGAACACAGGGAAAAAAAAAACAGGTTGACTTTTTGCTGTTTTCAATCAGATGGTAATAGTGAATCAAATCCCATCACTGTGTAGAAGAAAGTGATTAAATGAGGGACATCATTTAAAGTCTGTTTGGAAGTTTGAGTTGTTTTCTGATGTCTTCAGGGTGAGCAGTGCAACATTGTGCCTGATAATGTGGACGACATTGTGGCTGACATTGCCCAGGAGGAAAAAGAAGAAGGTTTGCATCTCTTTATCTTTTCATCAAAGTCGACCTGCTTGAGGAGAAGAGAGAGAGAGAATGAGACTTTTACATATTC